AACAAGAAAGTTCATGGAACTATATCAATCAATTGAAATATATGATGATGTAAAGCGCATATGCACATGCAAACACATTGTCAATATAAGTGAAAAATGAAAGATATATGAACAATTAGGTCATGTTTGGCAAGATTCAGCGGACAGGATTAGACAATATAGCAAAACAAAAATAGAATATTGTCCCTTCTACTGTCCAGTCTGTCTACCGGGCACTCCAAGCATGTTCTTAGTACCTGACAAAGAGGACCCTTGCTTCTCTAATTTTCTGTTATCCAAATGGAGTTTCTCAACCTCTTCAGAGACATCAGACTTGACACAATGTGGCATTTCATTCTTCTGCATTAACCAACCCATTGAAGGGGGTGAAGAAGAATCCACAGAACTACTGTTGTCATTATTCCTCGTAATCTCAGAAGCCAGAAAATCAGAAGTTGAACTACTATCCTCTTCGTTCACATCCACAAAGGCGCCAAATTTATCCCTATTCTCACAAAACCCAACATTTCCCTCTTCTACTATTTCATTATCAGTTACCAAACCCTCCATTGTAGCCTCAAGATAACTGGTCGAAGCACAATAAACAGAGTTATTCACTACGGTGGCTCTATTTTTCAATATTCTAAAGATTTTGATGCCCAAAATGACAATGTAGAAACCGTGTCCAAATTTCTTGAATTTGTAGTCTGCTTCAGAAGTGAAAAAGGCTTGAGCTTTGGCCGGCGCTGCACAGTGGCCTCTCTTTCTTCTTGGTTTGAAAGAGCTCAATCCATAAGGAATTACCTTCAATTTCTACGTCTGCCATATCTGGTTCTAAAAGTAAAACTAAAGGCAAGAAATGTGATTTTGAATTCGTGGAAATAGCAATAATTATTGAAGACTAGTTGCTCAAGCACTAAAGAAAAATGAACTATGGGCGTGTGGTAATGGCAACGAAGAGTTTTGTTTCACAATGATATATAGACCAAGAAAGTGGCGAGGCTCCTCCAGTCCAGTCCTCCCTGCTGGCTTTGCTTAAACCAGGAGCTTTCTGTATGTTTGGTTTTGCGTAAACAGGGGCTCTCGCATAATTATTACTCGCTAAATAATTGATTAAAATAAAAAGACAGTAACTGCAAGTGTTTTATCAACTGAATTGTTTGAGGACAAGACAATGGAGTCATGTAAGGGACGAATTAAGCCCCCGTTTGAAGCCATTATTTTTCATTATATTAAATTAAATTTTTTTCTTCAACTTTTAATCACATAATTTTTAATAAAATAATATTGCACGTAAATCAAAAACTTTTCAACAACTCATTTTTCAAAAAAACATTATTCATCTTATTATAATCTACAAATAATGGGGTTCAAACGGCCCCTAACTTGTATGGTGTATTTAACAATTATTTTTATTTTGTGCAACATTTTTGAAAGGAAAATATACGTCAAACATGGTTGAGTCATGCATATTTCTCCCCCATTTGATAATCATTACAATGAGTTTTATTATTTTTTTTAAATGTGCAGTTAAAAAGTAGGAAAAATTTTGAATTTATGTGCAAAATAATTTATCGTGAACATGTATGGTTGAAATGAGTTTGAGAAAAAAATTTGTTATAACGATTGTCAAACAGGGGCTGCATATATTAGACTTTACTTAAAAGTTAATGATATGTGGTTGATAATTTTATAAAAGGTATGATTTTCATGAAATGTTTAAATGAAAATGAATTTAAGAAAATGAGTAGCTAAACAAGGGTTTAAATTGTTAAATAATATTAATTTATTTATTTATTTAAAAATTATTTCATCAGCACTATATGCCTCGAGAGGCTCACTTTCGCAATGCTGATGAAACATCATCGATTCCTATTGGAAGAAGGATGATATATTTAAATATCATGTCGTATTGTATTGCTAAAGGTCTAGCTAACTTAGACTTTACAGAGAATTGAGCATAACAAAGTTCACATCAAATGGTCCAATGGTTATAGGGATTCCATCGGCCCTCTGGTGTCATCTTGTTGTTTGGCTAAACTAACAGGATATTTAGTGAGAATTAAGAGTCTGTTTGGGTATGATTTTGAGAATTGATTTTTTGACCGTTAGAAGAAAATTAGGATCCACCTGTGAGAGAAAAAGTCAAATATGACGACTGAAATAGTGAAATAACGGTCAAAAAATCAATTTTTTTGTGCAAAAAATACTCCCAAACAGGCTCTAAAATTAGATTTTTAGTAAATTTTGATAGAAGTTCTTGAAAAGTTGCGAGACAACGAAAGATGTAATTAATATTGATTATTTGACTTTAATTTGATTCAAATTAAATTCTGATTAAAACTTGAACCAAACAAGGGTTAAAGCACGTTGCACATGACTTGTGTCGACCATAATTATCTAGTACTAATTTGTATGGTGCTAATAGAAGTATATGTGGAAGCAGTGAAAGCGCCGAAAATTTATTCCTGGTCCATATATTGACTTCTTCAAGTTCAACAAAAATTTTAACTCCCAATTAGACTTATAAACAAAACTTCAACTGTAAATTGCCAAATAGACTTCGAATATGATTCCAAGTAATATTCTAAATAAAATTCGGATCACACCCTAATTCTAATAAATTCCACCTTGACATATGTGAGCAGGCAATGAACACAACAAATCGAACCCAAATCTTCTTTATCGTATTTAAACTCCGAGGTTTCTAAATTAACAGCGATTTCCTTAATAACAATTAAGTGATATTCAAGAAATGTACCTTCTGTCATACGATGTTGAATATAAGCGTTGCTTCAGATGTAATTTGCTAATTATGCTTTTCATTCATGCATAATTGCTCAAATTTCAACCATGATGTAGCAGCTGACTTCTCCTTCAAAACGCTTGAAGAATATTATTTGAAAGATGAAGGTGAATCTAAAATAGGGCCTTTCGATCCCTACATTATTTCTCCTCCGATGTTCAAGTTGTGGGCATCTTGTCAAAACCCATCAACGAATCGTTCAAATCCATATGAGTGAATATTATTCGCATCTTTACTTGCCGCAACGAAAATCATGTATTGAAATTCAAAAGCCAAATATCATACTTTATGATTGCCATCAGAAAAGATCGAGTTGAGCTCTTAACTTAATCAAAACCTCAATCTCCCAAGAATTTTCAAGCCTTTGGCTCTAATACCAGTTTGTTAAAAAATGAAGATGATATCAAATTGCTCCGGTACCAGTTTGTTGAAGAAAATATAAGATTATAGGCATAATATGAAGTAATTGATCACAAAAACAAAATAAATTGCAGAGTGAGTGAAATTGCACTAAAATATAAAGAAAAAATACAAAAAATTTGTATTTACAACTTTGTCTAACTTGATTTGAAATATAATGAAGAGCTTTCAAACCATAAAAGTAGAGTAATAGATGAAAATGAATGTTCAAAACTCGAAAATGGGCCTGGACCGAATCGAGCACCAGGAGGGCGTCAAGCGAACTGCATTGGTGCTGTTTAAGCGATAGGTTAGCGCCAACTAGCAGAAAAACTCAAAAATTTCTTCCAATTCCATATATAGACATCTTCAAGTCCAACACAAATTTCAATTTTTAATTGGACTTCTAAATAGAATTTCAACTAAAAATTTATCAATTAAACTTCAAATAGAATTTCAAATAACATTACAAAAAGAATTTGGGTCACACCCTAATTCTAGCAACAAGATTAAAGAAGTAATGCACCAAAGGAAGGGGGAAAAAAAAAAAAAAAGGTGTAAAGTTGCCCCCCACCAAACTTGCCTTCACCTGAAAGTTTTCTCTATTCTATGAAAAAATGTAAAAATTATAAAACACGAATGGACCACGAATATGATAAAAGAATTATGATGGCATGCTATGATTTTGGATCTGATTTTTTACTTTGTTGGTTAAGAATTCATGGTAATCAAATGAAAATTTTTGCATATAATTCCAACAGCAACTTGTATTTGTTAACTTCACTTTCAAGGTTTTCATGTAGACCTTTCCAATTACTCATATATGTCATAATGCCCGGTTGTTCCACCCGAATAAATACTATGACAAGCACCTCCCAACAGCTTATCATTAATATCGTTCAGTAATTACTAATCAATATGTAACAAGTTTCTTGAATTGTTTGCATGCATATCATTTATTTTTGGTGTGTCCCTTGTAAGCTAATGAAACTTGATTATTATTGTTAATTTTAATGAATCAGTTCATTTAAAACTAAATTTTTCGAGATTGGACAAATAATATCAATGCAGGCCCTCTTTTGGTGTAGCAAGACACGAGTTTTGAAATAGTTTGTAACCATCATCTTATTCATTATTATTATAGTGAAAAGTTACAAAAAAGAGTACGGTAGACGTAGCCCTCCATTGCTCTATTAGTGTAGCAAGACACGATTTTAGAAATAGTTTATAACCATCTTCTTATTCATTATAATTGTGAAAAGTTACAATGAGAAGTAGAATATAGATTGAGAGTAAATTTCAGTTTTCCGGTTTTTGTAATTTTTACTCTAAAGATGAGACAATTTGTCAACGTTAATGTCTCGACCCTCGCAACCTAGTTTTATTAATTACTTTTCAAAAAAGTTGAATATTGTGGAGAAAATTGACGAAGCATACAAAACAAATAGAAACAAAGGAAGGTGCAAATGTAGAATTTTGGTTGGTTGGGAGACTTGTAAACTCAATTATTTTAGATTTTCATTTTCTCTTCTTTTGACTAAATTGCACTAATCTGTGCAATACACCAAGCCATAGATTGGATAAGCCATAGATTGTTATCCATTGACGAAACAAAACTTTGAAAAGTATTTTTTTTCCTGAATGTTTTACTTAGGACTCGTCAATGTACACTGATATGGAAATTTATGTTATATGTACGTCTTGCATTATAATTTTTAAATTGAACCATATTTTGGACGTAGAACTATTAATAAATAAATAATCGAATTGTGTCATGAATATTGCAGGGACAAAGAAACATTAATTTAACAACACATTCATTACTAAAATCCATTTATTACTCATATACATTATCAAGCACGAACTGAAACCATAGATTCAGTCTCAAAAAAATAAGATTCAAAAATACTGAATAGTCAAAATGACGTTTTCAATCCAAGCCTATGTCTGACGGTGATTAAAAAAGAAATCCCAATTTATTTAATATTATAATATTACATCGATTTGAAATACAAATAATTCTAATTCAGTGCTTGTGAAAATCTGGATCCTTCACTATGGTAACAGGGCAGTCTGCATTTGTCATCACATAATTGGTCACACTCCCCAATATGATCCTGTACCAACAAAATATCAAAATGAACTTGAACACGTAAACAAATGAGACATATTCCAATTAGGGGTGGACATCAGGGTGATTGAATTTGGATGAGGATAGGATCAAATCGGCTCTCGACAAGATTTCTGAAAATGGGAGTTGGTTTTACAGGAAAAAAAAAGTTTTGATCGGGTCAAAATTGAACCAGAACGATCGATCATGCTCAGTTCCAATCCCTGTTTTTCCATTTCGCTTTGATGATATACTACATTTCAAAAATAAATTTCATATTTAAAATTATAACTGAAAATGTAAATTATGATTTTATCGAGAGATTATAAAAAATATAAACCAAATAAAATTTGATAATATAACTAGAATCGAGAATCACCCAGTTCTAATTCGTGTTAGGTGGTTTCGGTAAATCCGCTCCTATTAGAACTATTGACAATGTTATGTTGAATACCTTTTGAGAGCGCTAAGGCCTCTGCTGCCCATCACCAAAGAATCCAGCTTCAAATCTGCAACAGCCTCACACAGCTTGTCTCTAGCGTCTCCCCAGTACAGCTTTGTCACAATGCTTATCTACAAGTAAATTCTCTTTCGTTATTACAAGCATAACCGGCAAATCTATTTGTACAAAGGGAAAATTATTGATGGTTAACCCAAACAGTATTCCTTTGGATCTTTCTCGGAGAATCCTAAACGAGATAAGTCCATCAATATTCAAGTGATGCTCAAAAGAAAAAATGATTTAAATTACCTCCTTTTGTCTATCAGCAGTGTCAAGCATATCCAAAACTTCAATATCAATCTTTATGTCGTATTTCTTCATGATTTCAGGCTCACGAAACTCCACTAACGGAATAAGAGCTACAAACCCACAAAATCAAAATCAAAATCATGAAATCATGAAATCAGATATAGCAAAAAGATCGTAGCCACAAAAATCATTTCATCAAATAGAAAATAACAACATACGTGAACCGGATTTGGACCATAATTGATTGCGGGATTCATCAACAGAATGGGATTTGATGTGGATTATGTAAAGGGTATCGCCCTCATCAGCCAAATTGTCAATAGCCCATTGCAATGCCATTTTGCTGCTCTTTGAGAAGTCCATCGCCACACCGATTTTCCTGTCTTTGGCCATTTTTTGTGTTTATTTCTCGAGTTTGTTCTTGGAAAGATATATATAGATATAAGTTATTGCGTGTGGAAATTGAAAGCTAAAAAGATTTGGTGCTTGCACGGAAAGATGGTACCTCTCTTGAATAAGGACCTAAGGTTTTGCCGTGTGTAAATTACGGTTCAATTTTCCCCTCCTACTGTCGGATGATAAATGTCCGGAAGGAACTGCTTATAGCTCAAACTTGACCAAGCCCAGTCCAACTTCCAAAAAAAGGGGATTTTAGAGAAATACTGTTAATTTTGAAATCATTTTGAAATATCAGTAGAAAAGTCGCGCCACACAATTATACCTTGACTAAAACCGTATTAAATACGGTTAAAATAATTAATTTGGGTCAATAATTACGTGGACTCCAAAAGAGAAGAAAACAGGAACTGCCATTCCAATTTTCAAGGATGGGGATCTGCTTGGTGTTGTTTCTCTTCTCCTCTGTTTTTGACGAATTTTCCTCAAGTTCTCCGTAGTGTTCAGTAATTAGTATTGTGTCTTTAAATTATTTCTTTTCTTATCTCGTGTAAAGAAAATAACGCGACTTTTTTTAAATCAACATTTTTTTAGGAATTATTAAATTTCAATTGTACAAGAAGAAAGAAGAAAGTGTTGCACTAAAAAAAGTGACAAAAAATGGAAAAAGAAGAATGCGACAAAACACCAATTAAAACTTATGTTTTTCACTCAAAAAAGTAACAGAAATTTTAAAAAAATAGCAAACAATAAAAAGTGACAAAAACTTGAAAAAAAATGAGAAACACTCAATAAGTGACAAAAACTCAAAAGTGATACTAAAAAGGTGACACAAAACACCAATCAAAACCTATATTTGTCACTAAAAAATGTAACAGGAATTTTTAAAAGATGACAAACACTAAAAAAAAGTGACAAAACACCAATCAAAACTCATGCTTGTCATTCAAAAGAGGGTAATTAGCATGAAACGTCCCTATCATTTATGTTTTTTTTGTGAAAAATGTCCATACCTTTCATTTTTTGGCGCTTTTCATCCATACCTTTACATTTTCTTGTGCAAAACATCATTTTCATCATTTTTCCCAATAAAAGGCTATAAAATGACCAATATACACTTCTATTTAAATTTAAAAAAAAATAAAAATAAAGAACTAATTGCAATCATAGTCCCAATTTTTAAAAAAAAAAGTTCAAAAGAGTCCCAAACAAAAAAATAAAAAGCATATAATCCTCAAAAATTAAGGAAAGAACATACAGATGAAACTAAAGAAATAAAATCTCAAAAATTCTGCTTTTTTATATACAAATAGTTACCCAAACTGTTACCCTCGGATTTCCGGCCATAATCCTCGAAAATTAATCTCCTCATGTTGATTTCAGTTCAATATCTCTCATAAAAGGATGTGATAACAGCTGGGTTGCACTCCATCGTTTACTGGAATCCTTCTGCGAATAACACTGAATGAAATTCTTGAAATTTTCTGATGCACTTCCAGCAAGTTCGGTGGTTCGCCGATGCATATGGCACACATAAGTGTAGCCCAGTCAGGTCTTTGTCCCTCCAGCAAGTATGGAAAATGGCCCATGAACAGTTCCAGTAGAGTCAATCCTAAGCTCCATATGTCACGGGCGTACCCGTTGTAATTGCCGCCATATGTATTCGGGTCAAATCTTTCCAGCTCATATAAGCATAGGTTCCAACGTAGGAATTGCAAGGACCCAATGTCCAGTGCATGATTTTACTGACTCCAAAATCAGAAATTTTCACTTCAATTTTATTGTTCTAATATATTTGACAGCTTCAAATCTCTGTGAATGATCTTGTGGGAGTGCAAATATTCATTTACTTTTGTTTGGGACTCTTTTGAACTTTTTTAAAAAATTGGGACTATGATTGCAATTAGTTCTTTATCGTTGTTTTTTTTTTTTAATTTAAATAGAATGGTATATTGGTCATTTTATAGCATTTTATTGAGAAAAATGATGAAAATGATGTTTTGGACAAGAAAACGTAAAGGTAGGGATGAAATGCGCTGAAAACCGAAATGTATGAACGTTTTTCACAAAAATCATGAAAAGTAAGAACGTTTCATGCTAATTACCCTTCAAAAAATGACAGAAATTTTAGAAAAGTAACAAATAATAAAAAGTTACAAGTTTTAAAAAGGTGACAAAATTATAATAAAATGTGCAAAGACTATTAGAAAAGTGACAAAAAATTTCAAAAAAGTAACAAAACACCAATTAGAACATTTTGGCCCCCCCATTTTGGAGAAATGAAAATGGATAGAATAGTATTTTTTTGAAAAATGAGTGGTTGAAAAAGAAGGAAAAGTTCTCAATTTACATGTAATATTATTTTATAAAAGATTGTATGGTTAAAAATAAGAGAGAGAAAGACGAACTGTAATAGAATTAAAATTAATCGGGGCCAAACAAGGGCTTAAATTAATTCAATAAAGTGACCAAACTTTTCATTTAAGTCCATTATTATCTCGTGCGAAAAATATAACATGACTTTTTCTTTAAACCAACATTTTTTAGAAATTATTAAATCTCAATCCTACCAAATGAAAAAAGAGAGTGACACTAAAAAGGTGACAATTAAAAAAAAAAAAAAAAGTGGCAAACACATTTAAACTGATGTTTGTCCCTCAAAAAGTGATAGATTTTCTTTTTGTTTTTCTTTTTCTTTTTTTTTTTAAAAAGTAACAAACAATATAAAAAGTGACACAAAACACCAATCAAAACTTACGTATCATTCAAAAAATTGAAAAACGTGACAAATACAAAAAAGTGACAAACACATAAAAAAGTGAAACATTAATCAAAACTCCAGCTTGTCAGTCAAAAAAGTGTTTTTTAAAAAGTAACAAATAATAAAAAGTGGCGAGCACTATTTTAAAAAGTGACAAAAGTTCAAAAAAATGACAAACGCTTAAAAAGTGATAAAGAGAATCTTCGTAGCATTTCATAAACAAAAAATCCACGTAGCATTTTACACACATATGTACCAAGTATTTTGCAAAGCAACTATAAAGAAATATTTTCAGATTATATGTACCGAAGTTTTTCTTGCCTTCAGTAACTAATTTTGCCCCAATCATTGAAGACAAATATTTGCCCCCATCTAAAAGATGATAAGAAAGATACAAATATAGGCAGAGGAAATTGATTTACCTATACTAATATCTCGCCAAAAAATTCATTTAATAGATAAAGAGTGAATAAATGTTATTTAATTTTATTAATACAAATAAATGTTATCTCGTCTAGTTGATTTAGGGCTTTTGTTCAGACACCTCCAACACAAAGTACAATTTATGGCTTGTTGAGTTATATATTAATCTAATTTAGCATGTGTGCGGGATAGAATTGAACGTGAACATGTGTTTTTCTTGTTTGAGAATGTGAACTCACGTGGAGCAATATAACCATAGGGACTGGCAACGGTGTTGGAGGACCAACCAAAGCCTCCATCATCAAGAAGTTTGGAGAGTCCAAGATCAGCGATATAAGGCTTAAAATCAAGGCCAATTAAAATGTTGTTGGCTTTGATGTCCTTGTGAATAATGGGAGGTACACAATCAGGGTGTAGGTAAGCCAAACCTTGAGCTCGCCTAATATAATCCAGTACCTCACGTCCCACTCCAAGCAGCCTCCACCGCGTTCGTGAAGGAGACTTCCCAGGCTTCCATTAGGCATTTAATCATACACGAGCAAAGTCGTGTTCTGATTCCAACAGCAACCTAAGAACTTCACAATATTCTTATGTCGCATTGAACCAATTGTCTTAACCACAGTGGAAAAGGAATCACGAACTCCATTATCTCCAATCAATCGTTTTGACAATTGTAATCAGTTGACCATAACTTCTTCACTGCAATGACTTCAGCATCTAGTTTTGTTCGGTAAACAATTCCAGTACACCCGTTACCAATCACATTTGCTTCATTAGACATTTTAAAACTTGCTCGACTGAGAAATTCAGCTTCTAAAATGGAGTTAATATCCAAGACATTGAATCGCCGCCTATCTCCTGTATTCATTTTCTAACTCTAAGAAGTGCTAATGCTCCAATAACAGCTAAGGCTACTGTCACAAATACGAGCAACGCAGTAGCCAGTTTGAGTCTCCATGAAAATCTAATATTTCTATCACGTGGCATTCCCATACCTCCTACTCTGATTTCAATAAATAAAAGAAACAATATAGTACATATCTGTGGCCACAATACAAGGCTGCAATAAAGAAAAAGATCAAATGGTTGTGTTGTTAACTGCTTATTGAATTAAAATGGATGGTAGCTACCCATGAGGCAAAAACAGTAGTCTTTTATTTATACGTTTTCTGCTTTTGCAATTCACAACTGAAAATGATTGGACAGGAAATAAGAAATTCATTAACAATCCTTACCTTATCCACCATGATCCTCCTCAAAATCTCGTCGCTGCTACTTCTCCATGCCTGACACAACACCGTCCTCCCCTTCATCGTCACCA